CATTATTTTCATCAAAACTTTTGAAGACTTGAACACTTCAATCAGTTGAGCAGCTCAAAATCATTTTATTCGGTGGATAATTATATTATTTCCATCTAGAACTTATTTAAACTAATAAAGTGAGTGCGCAGTAGTAGGTAGAACCAAATGTTCAAAGCATAGATGATAAAGTAGTGCAGTCGAAACTAGTTAAGTACTTAATACGCAACGGGATAAGTTCCTACACTTAAACAGGGATATGTCAAAATCACCAGCTAATCCTCTTACGCCACAAAGTAATTCAGCTATCTAGGACCTGGAGGGGTGAAAAATAGAAGGGTGAGTAGGCAAAAACAAAAGTTTATAAAACCATTTATTTTCTTAACATACTAACCCCTTGCTGTAAAACATGTATAGTTTCTAGAAAACCATACTACATATAGGTATGAAATCAAATATAAATCAACAGTAAATCCAAAAGTATGCCACATCACAATACCTCAACAGTAATGTAAGTAAAATCAAGGATTCAATCAATCTATACTAGCACACAAGGTGGAGTCGCCTAATGCGACCTGTACGATTGGCCTAATTGTTCATCAATCTATGCTAGCACACGAGTCGAAGTCGCCTAACACTACTACAATATTAGCTTTAGGTGGCGGATGATGGTGGCGGATATTAAAAACATCATGTCGGATAAATTATATCTGACACATCATTTAATTAGTGGCGGATATTAGAAAAATCCTGTCGGTTATATTCGACCTAAATTCCTGACGGATATTTATTGGCGGATATAAAAAATATCTTGTCGGTTATAACCGACAATAATTTTTATTCCTTTTTTAAAAATATTTTTGACAGTTTCTGACGGTTTTTAAGTTAATTGTGGCGGTTATAACCGACAGAAATTGACTATTTTATTATTTTACTTTATGGCGGTTATTATTTTAGTATTCTGGCGGTTATAACCGACAGAAATAAAAAATTTATTATTTTAAAATGTTACATTGATTAAAAATAATAAATAAACACATTTTTTAAATATATTTTTTTTCATGACTCTAAAGTCTAATGAACCCAATTCTCACGAGCCATAAATTTTCTGAGAGAATAATAACAACATACTACAATATGAAGCTCTTTCATTTTTGTAATAAGGATTATGCTCCCTCATAGGCAAGCAACAAGATACAAAGAAATTCAAACAATTTTTTTTTCAAAGCATCACAAAGCACATTGTCTGGCACATAAACATACATGAATATTTGGTGTACTCTATCATGTCTGATTTTATTATTTTAAAATGTTATGTTGATTAAAAATAAATAAAAACATGTTTTTAATTTTTTTTTTCACTCATGGCCCTATCAGATATAACCGACACGAACAAAGCAAAATTTTGGACGGTTCTCTGAATTTTTTTTTTTTTTTGTGATTTTTTACACATGCTATCTCAAAGTATATACAAACCTATTTGACGGTTGGATCGTTGAAACTAGTTTCGTAGAATGCATATCCTGTCAAATTGATAGATTTAACAAACATTTAAGAGTTAATGTTATAAGTATAAAATAAGATTTATCTACTAGTGTAAATCTTTTAAATTGAAGATCGAATTCATTCATTGCATTCTTATAGGGTCGAGGAGTGTAGCTGTAAAAAAATCATCAAAATTGGAGCTAAAATAACCGTTAAATTGTGATTTTTCGTTTATAACCATCAAAAACTTTTGTTCCGTTACCTAATATCTGAATGTTTGTTTTTTGCGATTTTTTACGTATGTGATCTCGGACTGTGTACAAACAAGTTTGACGATTGGATCGTTGAAAAACGTTTCGTAGCATGCGTATCACATCAAAATGGTAGATTAAACAAACACTTAGTTAATGTTATACTTCCCCATCAAGTATAAAATAAGATTTTGTGGTATTCACTAGTTTAAATATTTTAAATTAAAGATCAAATTTATTCATTACATTCTTATAGGGTCGAGGAGTGTAGCTATAAAAAATCATCAAAATCGGAGCTAAAATAGCTGTTAAATTGTGATTTTTTGTTTCTAACCGTAAAAAACTTATGTTCCGTTACGAAATCTCTAAATGCTTGGTTTTTACAATTTTTTACGTATGTAATCTCGGAGTGTGTACAAATAAGTTTACTGGTTGAATCGTTGAAAAAGTTTTGTAGAATCCATATTGTGTCAAAACGGTAGATTAAACAAACACTTAGAGTTAATATTACTTCTATTAAGTATAACTAGTGTAAATTTTTAAATTAAAGATCAAATGTATTCATTACATTCTTATAAGGTTGAGGAGTGTTGCTGTAAAAAATCATCAAAATCGGAGCTAAAATAACCGTTAAATTGTGATTTTTCGTTTATAACCGTCGAAAACTTTTGTTCTGTTACGTAATATCTGAATGTTTGTTTTTGAAAATTTTTTACTTATGTAATCTCGGAGTGTGTACAAATAAGTTTGACGGTTAGATCATTGAAATTTTTTTCGTAGAATGCATATTGCGTCAAAACGGTAGTGGATCGTTTTAAAAAATTGGTACATTTTACAAAAAAATTGGTACATTTGACAAAAAAATTGGTACATTTCACATATAACAAAGTGGTACATTAATAAGGAAGAATGGGTACATTATAAATAAATTAGGGTACATATAAAAGATTAAAAATTATAAGTACAAATGAATTTTAAAAAATATAGGCACTAAAATAAATTAATACATGGGTACAAAATAAAACTAAGAAGAAAATACTACAAATTAAAAAAAAATGTTGCAAATTAAAAGTGGGTACAAACTAAAAATATAAATATATGATACAAAGTTTAGGCATAAAACATAAATATACCATATGTAATTTTTCTATCATTGATTAAATATACAATGTTACGTGACCGTATACATATGGGTACAAAAATATGGGCACAAAAAGAAACTAATATATGGGTACAAATTAAAAATGAAAAGAAAATTGGTACAAATTAAAAAATATTTGCAAATGAAAAATATGTACAAACTAAAAATAAAAATATATAATAAAAATTTTAGCCATAAATATAAATATACTAATTGTAACATTTTTAACACTAAAGGAATATATTCAAAAATAAAAATATTTTATTATTCAAATAATTAATTATGTTATTAATCCTCAAGGATCTTAATAAAAATTAAAAATAGAATTTTAATCAATGGATTAACAAAAACAAGAATGTGAATCTAAATTTTCCCATTTATTTATTTATTAAACCAAATAATTATTATTTTATTTTTTAAAATCGTAACAAAATTTTTTTTTTGGGGGGGGGGAGTTTAAAATTTTGGGAGGGAGGGGGAATTTAAAATTCGTAACAAAATTTTGGGGGGGGGGGGGGGAGGTTAAAAGTTTGGGAGGGAATTTAAAAATTTGGAAGAGAATTTTGGGGGTATTTTGGCGTCCATATTTTTTTCTGTCGGTTATAACCAAGGATTTAAATATCGCCGATATTTTCATTTTTTTTAGTTACCGATATTTTAACGAGTATCCAATGAGTTTTCGTCAAAATATCGCGATATTATATCGATAATATCGCGATATTAGTTATAATATCGCGATATGACATCCAAAAATTCTTAAAAATTTCTGAAAAGTCTCAATTTTGAGACTAAAGGGATTCAAACCCCCTCCCATTTGACTCCTTAACACCTTAACCACCATATCACTTATGTTGTTGTGATAATATGCTACTATATTTATATATATGGTTTTGTTTTGAATTCTTTTTACAAGAAACAAATTTGCACATATTCCAAATTTTTTGTGGTATCATATTTTAAATTGTGTCAATTAATTACTTAGTCAATGGCATGTGGTTTTTAATTTTTCTATTTTTTATTTGGTCACTTACATGGTAGGGCTGGAAAAAATTCCCGAAAATCCCAAACCAAACCGTAAAAGTCCCAAACCCAAACCGAAAAATCCCAAACCAAAACCATCCTGAAGTTCAGGAATCCCATCCCGAAAAATACCGAAATTTTCGATATGGGATTGGTTTCCAAATCCCATTTGTTTGGTAATCCCGAAAAATACCGAAGTATTCGGTTTCCTATTGACTTTTGGGTTTTGGTTCTTGAAAACCATTGCCATGGTTGCTGACTACTTTTCACAATACACTTACTCTACAAATAGAGATGATGAAGATAGTGAAAATTTTGAACCTCATAGGAACTCTATATGGTACTAAGTCACTCATGTATCTTACCATGCAATGTATAAAGTGTAAAATATTGTACTAATTCATTATATATAAATGATTATGGTGTGTTTAAACTTCTTTCATTAATTACTACATATTTTCTACATTCACAATGTTTGCCAGCTCGCTATATAATCAACTTAAATCAGTTAAATCCATCATGCAATGCATTTCCTTCCAATTTTTTGTGATAAACTAATAGATAATGGACTAAATAAACATCCTGCAAAGTTTCAATAAAAATTTTCAAGTTTTTCTTACAATTTCCGTGGTTTCCATGTAATTTTTATCGATATCGATATTATCCCGATATTTCCATCGATATTTCCGTGTTTTCGGGACTACCGATATTTCCGATATTACCGATATTTTCTTCCTTGGTTATAACCGACAATAGGTGAAAATTGTCTGACGGTTTGTATTTTAAAAATTTTTATGTCGGTTAGAACCGACATTAATGAACATTTTCCGAAGTAGCAGAAAAAAGAAATGGAAGCTAAGCCATCCATTGCTTTGTGTTAAATCAAAATCAAATTAATGTCTTCCCAGAGTTTGTGTAACATTGCATTTGACGTCGGTACAGTCGGAGATGAAATTTTTTGAAGGGTCCGACACTGAGGCACTCAAGCAGCATTTTGGAAAGAAAATTTTGGAATTAGAAGATGAGAAAAGAACTGTGCAGGTTAACTTAAAGCCTTTATACTTGATGGTCTTATTATTGAGGGAACTAATATTCAAGTTTGTTCTTGTTTCGTACTGCAACAAGATAGGGACCGTTTGCTCGGTGAAGTTGAAAATCTTTATGCTGGTGATGGACAACCACAAAAGTTTCAAGATGTTCATACCCAGAAGTTAAAGGCACTTGAGGGACAGGTAACCATATTTCTTCTTACGACTGGATCGCTATTTCTCTTTGGATAAGCAGTGGACTTCTTTGTAATCCAATTGTGGTGTCTTTTTCGATGTTTTTATACCAGATTTTGGATCTTAAGAAGAAACAAGAGAGCCAGGTTCAACTTTTGAAGCAAAAACAAAAAAGTGATGAAGCAGCAAAGTGGCTGCAAGATGAAATCCAGTCTATAAAGGCACAGAAGGTTTAAACTCATCAGTCATATTTTTTTCCTATTAAGGCTAATATTTTCTCTGCATCTACTGATATTATATATATATATATATTTTTTTTTTTTTAAATAATAGGTTCAACTGCAACAAAGGATAAAACAAGAAGCAGAACAATTTCGGTAGTGGAAAGCCTCTCGAGAGAAGGAAATGTTGCAGGTATTTACTTCCTTTATTTTTCTTTTTCCACTGAATTTTTAAAGTTATGGAAGCTCACAAGTGGATTTTCATTTAAAAGGAAACATGTATTCTATTCTTACCTTAAATCTATTGATATCAGTTGAAATGTGTTGCTCTATGTTTGCATTTGAGTGCGTATTTTGAATGATGTGTTTGCATTTGGAAACTTTAACGAAGTACTGTTCAATTTCATCAGATGGTCAGTTTATGGTAGTCGCGGAACCTGCATATTTTGTGCATATATATAGCAGAGGCAGATTACAAAGTGTGGCAAGAGATTGATTTCTTTGGGGAGATATCCGGTGTATCAATGAGTTCCGATGACGAGTCTTTTTATACAGGAATCTGGAACTGAACCATCTGGAGAGAAAAACCGACGACAAGTCAAGATGAGGAAGAAGGTTTCTGTTTTTAGGGTTGATTGTTGTTTCTGTTTTCCTTTGTTGTTGTCCATTGTATGAGAGGTTATTCTGTCGCTTATTATATCCGCCACTGCATCCATTTTCTGTCGGATTTTGCATAATATTCGACAGTAATATATGTTTCTTGTCGGTTTTTGGACCGCCAGAAATAGACAATTTTGTAGTAGTGTAATGCGACCTGTACGATAGGACTGGCACCTACTTGGATCTAAGGCGAGCGTGCAGTGCAGAGGTGAACAACACGTGAAAGACTGGCCCTAACCTCTGGCGAGCACTAACACCGGGGTGTAGCAATGATTATTTTATGAGATCATGGCCAAGATTTTTTGTCTTCTGTACGTCCTTGGTCTCAGAATTGGATCCCATCCAGATTCACTTTGTGGGGATCCTAGGGATTCCCACATCTCAATCATTCATTGTATATCGTGTGGTCATAAATCATTTGACTTTTTTTATTTAAAATTAAACACAAATATTATCTAACAAAAATTGACCGTACGATGTAAGATGAACGACTAGGATGTGGGAATCCTAGAATTCCAACCATGTGGATCCGGAGAGAATCCTCTTCCCTCGGTCCCGTACTTTTAATAGTATCTATATGCCAAAATCTAGTAATCTGCAACTCTCTAAATCTTAATCATAATAACGAATTGCTAATTAGTAATTAGGTTAATTATTATTTTAATCGATAGATTACGAGCTCCTTCGAGGAACATGCGAGTCTCTTTTTAATTTGTCTATCTTGGTCCAGTCAAACATCCCTTTGTGTACTGTGGATCTTAAGATAAATAGCCAGCCAAGGCCTCAGAAATATTGAGCTCTCAAACGCAAGTACTGCTGTATTCTTAGCATTTTTCACCCAAATTAATTAGGAGAGAAATGGGGAGAGCTCCTTGCTGTGAGAAGATGGGACTGAAGAAGGGGCCATGGACCTCTGAAGAAGATCAAATTCTTACATCCTTCATCCACAAATATGGCCATGGAAATTGGCGTGCCCTGCCAAAGCAAGCTGGTAATTACAACTTCCCATCTGGGTTTTTTTTTCTCCAAAGATATATAGGCCACAAAGATCGGTTCTCCAATCAAAGATAGTATTCCACATCTTTGCATTGCATGATGATTGCAAACCTGGATTAAGTTAGCTAGCTATAGAAGTCTATTCTCCTCTGTTGCACCCAACTTCGAATTTTGCTCCTCGTAATTTAAATGAATTTAGTGTAGAGTACCATTTTTCTAAAAAATGTTACACACCATTTATGCATGTTTCATGTTGAATTAATTAAACAAAAACTAAAACTGGAAAATTAACAATAATAATTAAGAACACTTCAATAGCTGCGAAATAGCAACGTTGCTATGATTGCTTTGAGCCTTGGATTCATCTTTTTCACTTGTTTTTTTTTTCTTGAAATAGGGTTGTTGAGATGTGGAAAGAGCTGCCGACTCCGGTGGATAAACTATTTGAGGCCGGATATTAAGAGAGGAAACTTCACAAGAGAAGAAGAGGAAGCTATCATTAAGTTGCATGAAATGCTGGGTAACAGGTAAATAAAAGCATCAAATTTTAATTTTCATGAAACTTTCGTAATTAAGCTAGTTTCAAAACATGCATGTTTATCTAGCCTTTTTACCCTGCTGCCAACTATCAAGTTATCAATCATAAGGAGGATTAACATAGTCAAATTAATAAGAAAATTTCTATCAAACTCATTAAGACTTGTTTTTTCAAAGAAGAAGGGCATTTATACATGTACTCGAGATCTGAGGTCAAATATGCACACCCTACTCTCTAGCCTCGCTTATGAACCAAAAAATAAAATACAGGATCGTTTCTCGGACACACAAATCAAAGGCACTGATTTTCTGTTAGAGAATAGCAAGTGGGAGCTGGCAAAAAAGATTCTCTATTTGGAAGCCACCACAATAGACATAATTTGATTGTAAATAACATGCAACCATGAGGTTGATAAATGATTGTCTTACGATGCAGTCACAACTCTCAAATCTCAAATTTAAGCAAAAAATTTTAGGACAATTAGCTGAAATAAATATATTTTGACATTTGATATTTTATTACAGAAATGATCAGTGTTTTTGTTTTTTCATTATTATATTATCATTATATTGTTGTTGTGTCGTCGATATGTGATTGTCATTATTAAAAAATAATCATTACTGTGAACCAAACATCAAAGCATGTTATTGTAGCTATTTTCCCAAAATTACATACTTGTTAGATAAATTATCTTGCAAATGCTTAATTTAAATCTTTTGTTTCGTTTTCAGGTGGTCAGCAATTGCAGCAAGATTACCAGGACGCACCGATAACGAAATAAAAAATGTATGGCACACCCACTTGAAAAAAAGACTCAAAGATCATACTACAACAACATCATCAACAACATCAACAAGAAGTAGTAGTAACAGTACTTCCAATGTCACAAGCCAATTTGTTGATGAACCTGAAAATTTGAATTATCCACAACCATCTTCTAGTGATGTTTCCTCCTCAGTCACAAAAGTCTCAGCTGCATTGAGTACCGATCAGGACACAATCGTCGTCAAGGGCGAAAACATGGAGTTGTCGGAAACCTTCCCCGATATTGATGATGACAGCTTCTGGTCAGAGGCACTTTCAACTGATAATTCCAGCGTCCCATTACAATTTCCAAAGGCCTCAAATGATGAACCAATATCGGAGTTTCCCATCACCAAAAACGATTCGGAGGAATTTGGTTTTAGTTTTGGTCTAAACATGGATGATGGCATGGAATTTTGGTATGATCTTTTCATTAGAACTGGTCATGGGGGAACGCCAGAATTACCAGAATTTTGAGTTTTACTATTTTCTCTCTTTGGAGTTTAGGAGGATATTTTATATTGGTGGTTTGAAAAAGTTTTTAAATATTTTTATCTTGAATTTGACCGTTAACAAATGCTAGGTTGGACAGAAATTTCAATTGCGGGGGCCAATGTTTGTCCTCGTACATCCAAAAGTTAGACTACCACTTGTGCATTGACTAAGAAGCTAAAGCTAATTTGCTCTTCATCATATAAAAAGGAGAAAAGAGATGGATAAAGAACAGAATAATGTGAGACAAAAGAATTGACTTGGAGCACAGTTTTGTTACTCTGTATTTATAGATACAATAATTTAATATTTTAGAGACTTTGGTGACATATAATCCTCCTTAGTAGGTTTTATTTGTTCAAAGTTTATGTGTAACCATAATGATGACGATGAAAATGATGTAGCTGGACCTTTTTACTCCGAAATAAAAAATTCATTGTTTTAATGTATGCATATTTAATATGTATATTCAATTTTGCAGTAATTTGTTTGATAGTGCTCCAGCCATATATTATGTGTTAAAGAATGATATATAGTTGTTGACCCTAAAAACTACCAAGTTCACGTGGCGCGCAGGCCGAGTAACTAATGAGCTAACTACGTCCTTCAGTTGTATGCGGGGCGTGCCAACTCGTCGGCCAAGCTCGGCCGAGGAGTAAAATTTGTTGATGTTGCGTTGGGTGTGCTGCTAACTTCTGAATCTTGTGACTGCGGCCGAGGAAGGAACATGTCTCGGCCTTCGGGTTCTAGAACCTGAAGACAAGGCTACTAGTTCTACGAAGTTCACAAATCATCGGCCCCGGATTCGGTCACAGTGATTATATTCGTAAGAGTATAAGCACGCCAAATCGACACCATAGTATATGGACACAAATACTCAAAACAAATGTATTTCTTGATTGTGAAAGTAGTTCGGCCGTTAGAATGCCGAACTCTAAAACCTACTTATGAATAACCAATCATAAACAACTCGGCGTTCAATGTGCCGAGCCTAGTAAATCGTGACACCTCACTTCGCCGAGAAGGCTAATGAGATTACCTCTGTCAATAAGGATTTGAAAACCCTTCTCGACCGAGACTTGGATAAATAACCAGTCAGCCTCGATGCAGTGTTGTTTATCCAAACTAAAGGTGCTCCGCGGTCGCCTGATTCTATGGCTCCAGTGCTGTTTATCCAAACTAAAGATGTCGCATGTTGCCTTCATAGTGCTGTTTATCCAAACTAAAGATGTGTCCGCAGAAAAGGAAAATAAAAAATCTCGAGGTTGTTGAGAGGTTTCGCGAAAACGAGGGTTTACGCAGGGCAGTTTGTGTGTTGAATCAGAAAGGGCTTAATGATGTCCTCTTCCCTCTATTTATAGTAGTCAACCTGCTTCCGCTCAAATCACAACCATACTCAGACTAGAACTTCTTCCCCTGATCTAACCTTATCTCGGCCAGTCCTACTCCTACTAGGACTTTGAACTCAACCCCCTTATCAAGCCGCATTCAATCCAAACTTCTACATTCTTATCATACCGAAACTCCTTCTCGTATCAAGATTCAACCCCCATGGATTCCTAATAGAACACGGCCGACCTTGGCTATGTGGCCCATAAGCCGAATACCCCCCTCCCAGTGACTCCTAAGCACGGCCTCTGGACCGAGAACAAATCCAAACTCGGCCCAAACCAATATTTTTGGGCCTAAACATTGCCCCCTCGCTTCTGAGGTCGTCGACCTGTACTCCTTGGTTCGAGCCTCGACCTTGAAGAAGTGAAATCGACCTAAGGACAATCATTGAATCATCTTGAGAAATACCACCATGCGCATTTATGAGACATAACCCCACGATCTTAATTTCCTAACTGTCCTTCCACATGTCAGCCCCCTGGTTAACCTAGTAGCCCTCAATCATGATCCTCGAAAACATGCAATCGCCAAAACGTCTCTCTTGTACTAAACCCGCCATAACACGCCATCGTGCGTCCTCAAACCCCGAAAACCTTGGGCTATTCGCCTTGATTCTCTGAGCATGTACAATGATTACCAACTTTCCCGCTCAATTCTACCCTTGATTTTGAAAATCAAACGTTTAGCATTCCGTCTCAAATGCTTATAAATACCCGGATCCCTTCAGTCTGTACCTTACGCTTTCCAAAACCCTTGAAATTTTCTCGTCACTTTGTTTTCAAAACCTTCAAAAATCAGAAAATCCTGAGCTTTCATCTCAGAAATCTTTGAGCCTTCATCCATGGTCCCCTTCATCTCAGAGCTTTCCAACGAGTGCAACAAGTGCAAGAACTTCATAGATCGAAACGCCATCAAGACTTTGCATTTCGAGAGTGACCTAAACACTACTCACTAAATCCTAGGCCCACTTTTCAAGGACACATTGCCATCATCCATCATCAATCTGTTCAAAAAGCATTGCCTCGCACATTTGTTGCAAGGATTCGATTGGTCAAAGTGGTGCCAGACAAAGCCTCAAGGTGCCTGGCCTTCGACCAATGCTAACTGAGCGGAATGGGTCGTACGAATGGAAAAATTCTTTGGCAAAGAGTGGGAGGCTCTCAGCATCCATGACGCCATCAAGTTCACGATCATGGAGATTACCATGGATAAAGAACTCCTTATGGCAGCTCTAAGCTTCTGGTGCTCGGCCACCAACACCATGGTCCTTCCGTTCGGCCCTATAACCTCCACCATCCTCAACATCTCGGCTATCCTCTGGACTCCTCCTTCTGACATTCCAATAGACACCAACCTTATTGGATGCCTATCAAACCTCGACCTCAAAGCGCTGTTTGACTAACGGGCCGTCAAGGCGTTGAGCCAAGAAGGTCAAAATCCCTTAAAAAATGATGTTCAGAAGTTGCACAAGAATTTTCTGAACTACAACACCCTCATCCTTCATTTTGCCGGTCGAGGGGAGATGAGTCTGTGGAAGGGCGAACATGAAGCCTTCCTATTTTACTGGTACAACAAGTTTATCTGTTGTACCAAGTTGAATAAGTGTTTGGTCGAAAATATGCCCGTGGCGGAAGCCTGATAGGAGCGTATTATGCGACTTAGTTAGCTTGTTTTTATGCAATTATATTGTTATTTCTTAGTTAATTTAGTATTTCAAGCCATTTTCGTGTGTTTGTAGGTCCAAAAGGCTAAAGTAGCAAGAAAGTGCATTTTGGAGCATTTTGGAGCAGTTTTGGGCTTGGAAGGAATATCACATGCATGGAGCAAGAGGGATGGACGAAATTGAATCCAAAAGAGGCTAGGATTATGCTGAAGTTATGAAGAAATCAATTCAAGAAAAGAAAGTTAAAGATCAAAGCAAGAAAGAAGGAATGTTAGCCAAGTTACCTTATTTGGTCCTAACCTTTCCTATTCCTATATCACTTAAATTCCAGCAGCAAGAAGGGTTCCAAAATACTTTGGGACACTTAATTATATGTTTCTAGAAGACCTAATCCTACTCCAAGGTGGTGCCGTGCCTTTCCCCTTTCCTAAACACCATTTGATGCATTCCCTTGCACCATTCATCTTCCTTACAACACAAGGGAGATCTTTCCTTTCCTATTTTCTGCACCAAATCACATTCCCTCTCCCTTTTAGACAGTGCCGCATATCCCCTTTCACTTTTCCCTTAGGATTCTGATTTTATTTCCCTTTTTCTAGTGGATTTGAATTAATTTCTGTTAACCAAAATAAGTTAGGGTTTTGATTTCCTAAAACCCTATAAATACAACCCCTTGCCGCACCATTCATCCATCCAAAAACATACCCACTCACCACCATACATACTTTCAGCCATTCACCCATACAAACCACCACTTAAACCTTCACCCAACCTTTGTGCCGCAACAAATAGAAGAAGGAGGACCCTTGGATGTGCTTGCCATTCAAGTTGGATTGCTAAAACGTTTTTAGGTGTTTTCAATGTCTAAATTTATGTATCTTTGTTTTGCGAACATGAGGAGCTAAACCCCTTTTAGCTAGGGGGAATTTCGAAACCATGATCATAATTGCAATATGAATTGATTACTTCAAGTTGTGATTCTATGAATCGTGAATGCAATTTACTTAACTATTTGATTGATAACTTATTCTTGTTTGTGGATTAAGGATGCATACATAGTTTGCATGCATGAATTTGAAGCTAGAATACAAGGGAGTTTCACCTAATCGTTATGAACTTGTATTCATAAGTAGTGGAGATTGCTAGTCACAATCGTGTTAAGTGAATTCCTAGCAGAAGTATCATGCTCATCATAGTTACGAATGCTTTGTCAATGCTTATGATTTTCATAAAGCTTAATGATCTTTGATTGTATCTCTATTATGTTGTTCATGTAGGGAACTTTTGAAGAATAATTTGGGTTGCCGATGCGTTATTTGTCCAATTCAATGATATAAGGAAAATCTGAGGGTTAATTTAAGCGTACCTGATTAACCTGGGGCGTTGAGGTTCATGGTTTATTGGACAAGAAACTGGAAATCGTTTTGTATGCAAGTGTGTCATGTGTGGAGAATGACCCTTTAGCTAGCCCATCATCCATAGTTTTATCCCAAATTCATCCAAAATCTGTCTTAAGTTTTTAGTTACTTGTTTTACTTTAAATTCGTCCAAAACCCAATCCCCTTTACTTTAGTGTGCCAAATTAGTTAGAATCTGTCTTAGTTTGTGTTTTTATGTGTTTTGAGTCAAGCTAAAATCAATTTTCGTCCAAAGTCATTCCTAGTGTCTAGTTTAAGTCTATTTAGTTGTTTTAAGCTGTTTTGAGTCTTTTAAGTCTGTTTTGAATCATTAGAGTCTAGTTAAGTGTTTTTAAATTTATTTTTCTATTTTTGAGTCAGTTTAGAATAGATTAGCAATCCTTCACAATCACTGGTCCAGAATGATCCTTACTTACATCTTTACTACAATTGTCAATAAAATGGTTTAATTTGTGTGTTAAGTTACTTTTTGCATCAAAGCCCTGGCCAGTGGTCACTTTCTGGCGCTCAGTCTGGTTATCCTTGCCAATCTTTTGCGTTGCCTTGCTGAGACGACCATCAATAAGATCGACCAGCATCAGAATAGACCTCTTTAGATGTTCCAACTCTGGCTGCAGGTTTATTTCTCCACCCTTCGGCCAGAAATCTCCAACCTTCAGTCTACTACAGCACTCGGTCTTCAGTTGGCCTCTCGACCATTACCTCCTCACCAAGCTGAAGAAGTCTTCAAACATTTCTTTGGCCTAGACGTCCTTTCCGACGATGAATTTTTAGTATGTCGTTGTCAAGAATACCCCCACTCCATCAGGCTTCCCACATCAACTTGGAACGAAATTAAAGACACTTATTTTCGTCAACATTGGGGGTCGTTCGTGTTAACTCGTGACCTTCCCCTCGGTTGCAATGCTCGCCGAGCAAGTTGGGAAGTCTACCACCCCCACTTTGCTGCCCGACAACTTGGCTACCTCCAAGGTTGCCCGGTGCCTCTACTTA